TTGTGACATCAGCACTCACATCAAGTGTCACTTCTCACTGTCTGATTATTCAAAGATCACAGCGCTGAAATCAATGTGTGTACTTATGAAACAAACTAATCTGATCATGTCGTATTGTGGTGTGTGACGTTTGAGCCGTCTGCAGATGCTAGTTTGTATTTTTGCCGTGTGTCCTTGAACTCACCCTTCCTGCTGATAATACGAAGAAGCCACAGGCATTTGGCGTATAACTGAGTGTTTAATAGTCGAGCAGATGGAGTTTGGGGTCTGATATGCCATAGTTGTCCATTTATGCACTAATCGTTTAGAGACGTTACTCGACTGACCTTTTCCAAAGCATTTGGTTAAAGTTTGGAACTGTGTTCTGTTATTAAAGGCCAAAAAAGAGCTCCCCAAATCAAGACAAAAGAAAGCAAAGCACTGTGTAATAATAGCAGGTGCCCTCAATTATGAAAATATTGGCATTTTTTAAAACGGATGAGAAAACGGTCACGCTTTGAAGATTAATTTATAATATGAATTTTAAAAATTGTTGAGAGTTGAGACACGTTTGTGAAGATTATGTAAAGCTGAGGTTACATAAGCAGAACTGCACTGTAAAATGAAAAAAATAATAATTCAGAAGAGATTTGGAGAAAATTAGCATTACTGCAGTGAATGGGTGCCGTCAGAATGAGAGTCCAAACAGCTGATAAAAACATCACAATGATCCACACCACTCCAGTCCACCAGTTAATGTCTTGAAAAGTGAAAAGATGTGTGTTTGTAAGAAACAAATCCATCAAGATTTTTTTTAATTTCAAAACTTTTCCTCTGGCTAAAATATTAAAATAATATAGCTTTCATAGTTAAAAATTCATCTCATCTGAAACTGGAGAGAAATATGCACAGATCAAGCACCGTTTGCCAGCGAAAAGAGACCAAATGGTTTTAAATCTGTTGCTAGATGTTGATGTGAGAGAACAACAATGGACTTTTTCACTGGAGGAACCGTTATTTTGGATTATAGAATCATATTTTATCTGGAAGCAACGGTATGAAGATAAAATGTTTTAATGATGGATTTGTTTCTTACAAACATGCAGCTTTTTACTTAAGACATTAATTGCTGGACTGGAGTGGTGTGGATTACTTGTGGATTATTGTGATGTTTTTATCAGCTGTTTGGACTCTCATTCTGACGGCACCCATTCACTGCAGAGCATCCATTGGTGAGCAAGTGATGCAATGCTACATTTCTCCAAATGTGTTCTGATGAAGAAACAAACTCTTCTACATCCTGGATGGCCTGAAGGTGAGTAAATGTTCAGCAAATTTACATTTTGTGGGTGAACTATTCCTCTGATTCAATGCGTTACTTATTTCTTTGTAATCATTTGTGAAATTTACT